TATAGAAATTAGGTACATTTGCACTAATAGAGTCTATTATAGAGTTAACTTAAAAAAAAAAAAATCGAGTTGGGCCGGGTCGAAGTTGGGCCGACCCGGCCCATTTCTTTTTTCCCTTTTCCCCCGGGCCCGGGCCCTTTCCCTTTTCTTTTTTCCCCTCCGCGGGCCTGGGCCCCTTTTCTTCTCCCCGCGCGGGCTGGGTCTGGCCCGGCCCAGCCCCTTCTCTCTTCCTTCTTCCCCCCTGCGCAGAGCGGTCCCTTTCTCTCCCCTGCTCTCCTCTGCCGCTGACGCAGAAGCGACGAGCGGCGGAGCAACCTCGCCCCGTCCCTATCTGGCCAGAGTAGGGCCAGGGCAGCACGCCACCGGGACTGGCATTGATGGCCAGTCCCGTCTTCCCCGATTTCCCGGGCTCTCTTCCTCTCTTCCCTGTCTCTCGGCACACTCCACAGAATCGCCCCCCTCTGCACCGGCTTAATGGCCGCGAAAGTCATGGTAGGAGCAGAGGCCGGTGCAGAGCATTGAATGGAGCAGAGAATGGCGTCGTCGTCCTTGGATATACAGACCGGAGAGAGGAGAGAGATGGGGGGTCTTTTCTCGGTTGGTTTGAGCATAGAGAGAAACATAGAGAGAACAGAGAGAAAGAGAGCTGAGAATAGAGAGAGAGAAAGCAGGTCGGGAGTACGCCGGAGCGAACCATCAGCGTCTCCGTCGCCGTGAAGCAGCCAAAGCCTCCCGGTCTGCCGGAGGGAGAGAAAAACAGAGCATAGAGAGAGACCGAGAGAGAATAGAGAGTGAAACAAAGAAGAGAGAGGGAGCCGAGAGTCCGCCGGAGCTAAAGAAGAACCAGCAGCGGTCGTCGACGCCGCCAGACCTGCCGGAAGCCATCCAGACGCGCCGTCGACCGGTGAGCCCCCCTCGACCGAGAAGCGCCCCTGTTTTCCCCTGTTTTTTGCCTCGGTTTGGTCGGGACTCGCGCCGGCCGTTTCGCGCGAATCCCGGCCCATACCGTCGTCGGTCCCGATCCCTAGTCGCCGTCGGAGGTGAACCCAAGCTGCCAGAGTCGACCGGATCGCCGGAGGAGGTCGGAATCCCCCGTTTTTCCACGCGCCCGCCAGGCGTTCGACGAAATGCCTCAACCACGCCGCTTTTTGTTTCATCGCCGGCCGGCGAACGGTGGTCCGACGGTGGCTCAGGTGAGTGGCACAGCCCACAGGCGGTCCTAGTCGGGCGACTTGGGGGCGGCGCTGGCCTGGGTCAGCCGGCGGACGGCCAATTTTGGCCTCGCCGGCGCCCCCCTCCTTGCGGGTCTGTTTGTTCGGGTCGGATCCGTTGACTCGGGTCGGTTCCGACCGACCCGGATTAACAGTTCCGACCCGGGTCGGTTCCGATCGACCCGAATTGACCGATCCGCCCGGGTCAACGCCCGGGTCGGATCCGTTGACCCGGGTCGGACCCGACCCGGTTAATATTATATTATTATTTTATTTTATTTAAAAAAAATTTAACTTTTTTTGTATTATTTTTTTTTCTTTTTCTTTTCGAAAAAAAAAATTTAATTTTTTTTTTTTTAAAAATTATGTTATATCTAAGTTTTTAATTTATTGCTGTATTATTATGCATATTATTGTCTTATTTAAATTAGACAATTCTGAGGTTGTGCGGTAGTATTTTGCATGTTAATTTTATTACTGTTATGCATGTTTTTAATACAATTCCATGAGCTGTTGTGTTTTTGAATGTCATCTGACTTAGTTAAGGTTAGAACCTTAGGCTGCATACATTGTTGTGTTCCTGACTGCTAATCGTTTCTGATTATGCACTTGCTTGATCACCTCACATGTTAGGAGAAAGGTCCTAAAATCAATTCAAATTGTCTGACAAATGTTTTCAAAAATGAACAGGGTAAAATGGTACGGAAAGGGCATTAGTTATCTAACTAGTGTAACCAAGTCCCCGAATTCAGTTAATCTCTGGTTCGTAAGAATAGGGTGACTCTCCCATCACCCTATTTGGGTTTCTAATCGACCTACCCCAAATCGATTAGTGGCGACTCCTTGATATAAATCACTTACATGTTAAAAACTTAAACCCTAAGTCGCGATATGGTACGGGCTTGGGAGAGCCCGAGTTAAGTCCTGAACTTAGACTTAGCACGTATCAGGCGAGCCCCCCCTTTTTTGCATGTTGTTTAAAAAAGGGCTCGGGAGTTCGGTCGCGACAATGCACGAGACCCGTTCGCATGCATACGGCAATTGACTAAATGACTTGTTATTCAAAGATGCACGATTAATTTCGAAGCTGAAGACCCGCAATAGTTCAATCGAGATGTGGAGATTGCAAAAGTCACAACTCTATTGAAATAACACCAATTTTGAAGTTGCTCGATGACTACCCTTCTTTTCGTCTCTTATCGTGTGACGTGGCGAGCCCACCTTTAGCGCTTGGGGAGTGGGCGACGGCGACCGGAGAGCGTCACGGTGGCAGCGGAACCGAGGGGTAGAGAACAAGGGGATTGGGGGTGGCTGTCAATTGTTGTTATAATTGGTAAAAAGCTTTTGATGTTTGCCGGGCTGGGCTAACGCCATCAAGCCGGCGAAGCCCATAAATGTGAACATATAAAGGCCGAAGGACTTGTTGAGCAATAACTAAAACTTCGAGGCCGCAAAAGAAAAACCATACAGAAAAAAAGTGACACGATCTTTGTTGACCCGCACTTGCTTCAAATACGTCATTCAACAAGTTAATTTGCAACTCCCGTTGAAGTTAGAAGCACATTCAAACAATCCTCTCAAAAACGTTAGAGACGAGAAGTGATTCGCTTCTTCACTCAGCTATCGCTAGCTAAAAGGCTGAGGATGACTTAACGTGGTCACATCACATGGAGGGGGAAGGAGTTTTTATGAACGTGGAAGATGCTTTGCGACGTATATAGGTAGAGCAAGCAGATTCTCATTCTCTTCCATTTCCATTTCGGTACGACTTCGAATCAGTCACATTATTGCGTACCCTCCCGGCCCCCCCCCCCCCCCCCCCCCCCCTTCGCCTCGTGGTGGGTGGGCACATACCGACGCGTACGGTGCATGTGCCGTGTTGCTCGGCGGGCCGGGCCGGGCCTCCGGGCAGCAATCGATGTGGAAATGAGGGAGCGATGCGAATCTCGGTCCATATTTAATGGCCATGAGTTGCTATCTGCTCGTGCTTATGTTCGATCTTAATGTATCGGGCATTACTCTTTTCCGTGTCAAAGCTCCCGTAACGAAGCGGAGAATAGATCTCTGGATGCGATCGACACTATATGCGATCTCTGGACGTCGTCGGGTGCGTCGGATGGGACACGTTCTCATCTCCTATACCCTTCTCCTCGGTTGAAAAATGGGGAACCGGGCTTGCCAGGTTCGGTTCTCGGTTTTACACCACAAACCGTCCGTTCTACTCGAAATTCGTTCTTAAACCTGTTTTAAAGGGTTTTTACTTTTTTTTTTGTATTTTTGTATTTTGTTTACAAAAAAGATAGTTATAACGGAGATGGGTTTTGAACTTGGAAAGTTTAGGAAATCCCTTGATGCCTTAATTATTAGGGTAGATACCACCAAAACCTTCAAACTATGCCCGCTATGACATGAAACTCCCCAACTTTTTTATGTCACCAAAAACTTTAAACTTGTCTCCTGTAACACAAATACCCCCTGCTTTTTTTGTGTTACAAACAAAAAAACCCCAACTTATACATGTGTGATATATATACCCTCTATTCAATTCCATCCAATATATATTTATTACACTGGTATAAGTTCGGGGATTTTTATGGCACAAAAAAAAAAGTTTTTGGTATTTGTGTCACAATGGACAAGTTTAGGATTTTTAATGATACAAAAAATGTTTGGAGTATTTATGTTACAGTGAGCATAGTTTTGAGGTTTTTGTAATATTAACCGTAATTAATATGACACGGATAGTTCACATGGTTTAATTTCCTATAATAATAGATATATTGCCTATTGTTAGACCAGACTCAGTTCACGAGTCAATCTTGGAACCTACCTTCGATCAAAAAAACCTTGGAACCTATCGATTTCTAATGTACGATTTCAATAAGGTAGATTTCAGGTTCTAGATCTAAAACCTGCTCACTTTGAAGCCGATTGCCCCAATAACCAAGAGAAAGAGCCACCTTAGAACTGTTTATCTTAGGAGAGAGAGAGAGAAAGAGAGTCTCTCCACAAAACATGCCTACAAAAATGAGCCTTTCGACGAGAGTAAACACAGAAAAGGCCTAATTTCTTGCAACTTTATTGTCATTTTACTTCATGAGAAATTCTAGATGTTGCTAATGATTTATCCTTGTCAACTTGTCTGTACTATCTTTGTGTTTTTACTATATTTGTGTAAAGTTTCCATCGGTGTATTAAATAAAGCTAACAATTTCTTAGGCCCCCATTATTATTATTATTTTTAATCACTCAAGTATTTCCAAATACATTGCATATCATTGAATACAAAGTTTTCTGTAAAGTAGACTAAGTATAAATCTTCAGCCTTTTCAGCAATAGCGTAAAACTGCACTACATTAATCATACATAAATTAGACATGTGAATTGTGAACGCACTAAAATTAATGTCAACTCATTAACCTTTTTTTAATTTGTATGATAGGGTGAAAATTAGCTGCATATCGGAATTATGATGTAGCTTAAATTAAAAGTAATTTATGACCTACCTTGAACAAATTAACAAATATGTGGATTAAATTGAACATCGCACGGATAGAGCTGAGGGATCACATGAAGTGTCTACCTTTTTAATATAACAAATGCATATTTCCTCATACAAGATTTGACATGTGAACCCAAGGAAATTAATGTCCACTCATTAAATTGCCCAATTAATTTGAAGGGTTTAAGATCTTAGGATCTATAATTTATTTTTTTTTTGGTAAGGATAGGATCTATAATTTATGATATAACTTAAACCAAAAAAAAAAAAGTAACTCATAGCCCAGATTGAACAAAGTTTAAAACATGTTGTGAAATTGAAATATCACACGATGACTAGAGTTTAGGGATTATACGACATGTTGAACCTTGTAATAGAATTATACATATGCCTCAGTTTGAGGTTCCGTAGCCTCCATTGTCCCCGACAATCACAGTCGATTACAAACTAATGACAAGTGTGTAAAAACCAAAGAAAAACATGATGTACGAAGATGGAAAGAGTGCATTATCACGCGTATTGTATCCCTTATTAAATGCATGGCTCGCTTAAAGTTGTTCTTTTAGAAGACGGATGAAGATATCCTCTTGACATCTCTCTCCCACTCTCACTCTCTACTTTGGGTTTAATCAAGCTTTGTGAGGGTATAGACGAACGGGGAGTCCCTTCGCAGGCATCGGCATCGGGTCGACAACGATCTTCTCGTCCGGGAGCAGCTTCTCCCACCTGAACCTCTTCACCAAGTTGTGCATGAACACGAGTATTTCCAGGCGAGCGTACTCCTTCCCCGGGCACATCCTCGGCCCGCCCCCGAAGGGCACGAACGTGTACGGCGCCGGCCCTTCCCCTTCGAACCGGGTCGGGTCGAACTTCTCGGGCTCAGGGAAATACTTGCCGCTCTTGTGGGTCGAGTTCGCGCTCCAATAGATCTGAGGGAATCATTCAATATCAGGAGCCGTTAGTTCGACTGTTCAAATCACGAATTTCACTAGTTAACAGATGAACAAGCAGTTGACGGGACGGGGTCATGTTTACCTTCCATCCCTTGGGAATGGAGAAGCCATTGAAGATGAAGTCGTTGATGGCTTCCCTGAACGCGCCCTGGAGAGGAGGGGCGAGCCTCATGACTTCACAGGCCACGTTCCACGAGTACTTCATCTTCTGAATATCATCCCAGTTCAGCAACTCGCCTGGAGCTTTCGATTTCACGATCTCCATTTGCTCTGTTCATCGCGTGATTGCATACAGAGAGACAAGGGTCAGTACATACAGACATAGACATGTGGATGCATAGATATGGACAAAGGCGTGGATCGTTTGCTTAATAGGCAAATCTTGGAGCATCTTTACTGGTTATTATATACCTTCGTATTTTAAACAACTTGAAATAAAAAAATTTTTTGTCTCATGGGTGTCTGATTCACCAATTAATTTGATGAGATTAATCAAAAAATAATGATTAGAGAGTTTAAATGTAAAAAATCTTGTCCAAAAAAATAGTTCAATTGATTTTTCGGATATTAACAAGTCTAGAGCTTTTATTGCTTTCATTGTAGTTCATTCCAAAAAAATTGTTATCTCCTTACCTATATATATTACTAATATTACTCTGATCATAATATTTACCTGGATATACCGGAAAAATAGACTGAAAACGAAAATCTTACCCTTGTAAACTTGTTCATATATTTCGGGAAGCTCAGCGAGATATTTAACGACGAAAGTACAAGCAGCACTGGCGGTGTCGTGGCCACCGATCAGCAAGCCAAGAATCTTGTCGGCAATATCGAGCTCCGTCATGTGCTTCCCATCCTCGTCCGTTGCCAGAAGCATGTGCGACAGTATGTCCTGCGTCGGCGAGGCCTTCCCGTCGGCGAGATCGACCTTCCTCTGCTTGATGATCGCCCTCAGCTCCTTCCTGATGAAGTTGGAGGCCTTGATGGCGCGGTTGAACGGGGTCCCAGGCAGGTCGATGGGGATGGAGATGATGCCGGAGGCCAAGAGATGGAACGGGTCGGCGAACCGCGCGACGTGGCTCGGGTCATCGATGCTGAGGAACAGGCGGGCAGCGAGCCAGAAGGTGTACCGCTTCGCGAGGGGGAAGACGGTGACCTCGTCCTTGCCCTCCCACCCCATGGCGAAGTGCCGCCGGGCAATGGTGTCCATTATCCCGATGTACCGCTGCAGTGCCTCCGGCTTGAAGAAGTTGGGGAGCATCTTCCTCATCTTCTTGGCCTCCTCCTTGGAGGAGGTCTGGGTGGAAGAAGGGAAGACCTTGTTGACGGAGTCGGGCCACCACGCGACCACCAGCTTGTTCTCGTTGGAGAAGAGGAACTTGTTGCCCGCGGCGCCACAGAACACGGCGGCGGGCTGCCCGAGGAGGGAGGTCTTGAAGACTTGGGACGAGTAGCGGGTGATCCGGTCGAAGATGAACCGCTCGGGGTGGCCCTTCCACCCGGACGAGAGGAAGTCGAGGCTCTCCCCGATGAGCGGGAGGCCGACGTTGCCCGGGGGGAGGTTCGGGGTTGCGTAGTGGGAACGGTGCTTGTAGAAGAGGAAGAAGAGGGAGAGGGTGATGGAGGAGACGAAGAGGAGGAGGAGGGAGAGGTAGAGGTGCTCCATTTTGGAAGGTGGAGCCGAATTTGATGTGTTTGAAGTGAAGGGGTGTGGCCATTTTATAGGCAATACAAGCACGAGGAAGTAGAGAGAAGGAGAAGGAGAAAAAGAAGGTGACTGCATGTGAATCAACAGAAAAATAAAAATAAAAATAGAAATAGAAAAATAAGGATAATAAAATAAAAGAGTAGTTGCGAAAAGCTCGAATTTAGAAATATGAAAGCTTAGCGACGTTGCTTGCAAGTGTAGAAATGGTGCTTTTGGACGTGTCTAGCGACTTTCGCAATTGATGCCCACACGCGGTTTGCTCTCGCGAGTGGGCCTTTCGTGTTTTCGTCGGCCCGCACACATTTAAAAATGCGATCGAAGCATTAATTTAATTGAAGTAAAAATAGTAAACGAAAGTGATTAAAGCCTAAATAGGCTTATATATTGGCCAATGTAAAATAGGAATACATACAGACGTTTTTTTTTACGAAAAAAGTCACAAAAAAAACCCAAATTATGCTTGCCGTTACACACATCTATCCCGAGCTTCTTTTTTTTTGTGACATAAAAAATCACAAAGTATGCCTACCATGACACATTAACCCTGAATTGTAACTATGCGACATATTTAACCTCCGTCAAGGTTTCATTAGATGATTTTTCAGCCAAAATATTGTCGTTTTTGTTTCGTTTAAGTCAACACCGTTTTTCTTTCTGGTATCTATATAAGTCCATTTTTAATAGTCCTCATTTACAGAACTATGACAAAGGGTAAATATGTTACACAGGTACAAGTTTGAGATTTTTTATTTCATAGAAAAAAATTTAGGGTAAATGTGTTACGTGGAGCATAGTTTAGAGTTTTTGACGGCTTTTGCCATTTAATTTTTAAAAAAATTAATTAACTTAAAAAAAAGAAGAAGGAAATTTCGGCACCTTTTGACCTATGTAATCACTAAAGTGTAGAAACCCATTTCATTCCCTAAAAGGAAATGATAATCAGAATAAATAAAACTGCAATTAAGTCACGGTAAAAGTTGTAATTTGAAATTACCGTCGAAACAGTAATTTGATGATTTTCAAAAAATCGAAATGAAGCATCGAAATAGCCCCTCGTATATACATAAAATAAGCATCTACGTACGTCGAAATGATATGAATTTGCATCGAGATGTTTTTCAAATTATTTTGTTGAGGTCCTAGTTAATAAATCATAATATGATATTTTTTTGGGTCGAAAAATCTTAATAAGATATTGATGGGCACAATAGTGATGAAAAAGAAATTGCGGGGAAATAAAACTAAAAGTAATAATGGAGTGGGAGCCGTGAATGCGCACTTGCGACTCGTGTTAGCAGGCCAAGCAAGGAAACTGGTGACCCCTTCGGTCGGTTCATGGGGTGGTGGGTTGACTTTTCTGGTTCCCTTTTTTGACTGCATGCGCCAGTACAGTATACCAAGTCTGACTTGAGTTGGTAGTATAAACACCAAGTAGAATAATTCCACCAGTTGATTGGTATGTGCCTTTTCATTTTTTGTAAATTTTATTTATATTATATGTTGTAGATACAACATCATTAAAAAAAAACAAAATGGAGAGAAAGAAAAAACCCGAAATTGATTGAGCGATCGGAGGCGTGATTTAAGTACCGTCAGAGCGTTAACTTGTATCGGTCGAATATGTACTCGCATCACTCCGCTCTATTTCCTAACAGATGACGTGAATCCTGTGTTTGAATTGCGGTTTCCAGCCACGCAATCTGAAGGGGACGCCCACGGTTTCATGTGAGAACGGAATGGTTTGTGTGTATTTATCAAAAGTATTCGGGTATATATTCTAACATTTTACATAGGTTCTGGTTTGAATAATTTGGATAACATTTTCTTTGAAAATGATCACTTGTATCACTTACAAAAATTAACCAACGAAATTTTTTTTGTTGTCCACGAAAATGTATAGATATACATTGTTATCGATAATGAAATAAATTTTATTAACTAATTAATCCAAACAATCTTTTTAGTAGGGGTGTGCGAAATGGACTGCCCAAACCAGGAACCGCTGAGGCCGGATTGAATCGGCCGGTAAGGTCCGGTCCCTAGGAGTGTCGGTTTGGTTCCCGGTTCTTAAAAGTGAAACCGATGTTCAGGCGGTCCAGTTCCCAATTCCAAGGGGTAACGGGACCAAATCGAACCAACTACGTATACTTTTTTTTATTTCTTAATTCTTCAACAATATTAGTAAAATGTGAACTAAACCCTAAGTGAACTTCATTGACAAAAATTAGTAAAATGTGAACTAAACCTTAAGCGACCAGTTCTCAGTCCTAGGACCAACCGGTCCTCCGGATCTGGTTCATGGTTCCACCTTGGAATTGGATCGAAGCGGGAATCGATCACCTTTCCTTTTTAGAAAGACAGTTTTCAAGCCATTTATTTTTCTCAACCGTTTCTAGTTCCTACCAATGTGGAGTCCATCTTTTCAAATAACGACGCGTCGTCGGGACAGAGACGAACGGCGGTCGCTTTCCTTCTTCACAACCGAAAGATCACCAACCACGGCCCGGGAGCGCAAAGGCGTGTCGACAGTGATTGGACGTTGGCAAATTCATTTTTAGGGTTTCCGTCCACCCCGTGGGGGGGGTGGTGGGGTGGGGTTTGGCATTCCACACAAGGAAGGGGACAGCGACGAGCATCTACTTGCATGGGCTTTCATTTAATATGAACAGGAAGAACAAAGATCAAAGGAAGCCGACAAAGAAGACCCGTAGGGTGCATAATGATATTGGGGGTCGGTACCATAAAAAATCAAAAACCTGTACATCCGGGCCGGAAAAATTGGGGTAAGATCACGGATTTTTAGTAGATTTTTCGAAATGTGAGGGAGTGCTTAGGGCAAAAAAAAAGCAGCTTTTAGCATGTGTGCCCATCTAAGATTTTGGTAATTTGGTATTTTTGTGTGACAATGAAATTTGTGTTAGGGTGAACGTGGCGCGTGTGTATGGGATTGTGAAGTTTTTGCAAGACGCAAAATTCGCTTGAGGGGTAACTGCGGCACGAATGTATCGGTTTAGGACTTTTTGTGGCAGGGGTGAATGTGGCGTAGATGAACCGGTTTGGAACTTTTTTGTGATGCGAAAAATAGTTTGGGGTAAATGCAGCACGAGCGTATCGGCCTGGGGATTTTTTGTTGTGTTGAATCTAATTTTCATAAGCTGAATATATGACTGGACTTGAGTGCCGTGAATGAAAAGTAAACTTGTCAAAATAGGTAATAAACCAATTTATTAATCCATATTTAATGGGATGATATGTAATATGGGTTAGTTATATTTAATAAACTTGGGCAAGATCACGGATTTTAGTAGATTTTTCGAAACGCGAGGGAGCACTTAGGGAAAAAAAAAAGAGAGCAGCTTTTAGCATGTTTCCCAATCTAAGATTTTGGTAATTTGGTATTTTTTGTTACAAGAAAGTTTGTGTCGAGTAAATGTGGCGTGTGTGTATGGGATTCTGATTTTTTTGCGAGATGCAAAATTAGCTTGAGGCATAAATGCAGCATGAATGTATGGGTTTAGGACTTTTTGTGGCAGGAAACTTAGTTTGGGGTGAATGTGGCGCGGGTGAATAGATTTGGAACTTTTTGGTGATGCAAAAAATAGTTTAGGGTAAATGCGATACGAGCATACCGGTTTGAGGATTTTCTATTGTTTTGACTCTAATTGGATATATAACTAGACTTGAGTGCCATGAAAGAAAAGTAGAGTTGTTAAAATGGGTCACAAATTCATTTCTTAACCCACATTTAATGGGCTGAATTATTATATAGGTTAGTTATATTCAGTAAATAGGTCATAAACGGATTTAAAATGATAAAACCCTAAATAATATGGATGTTAAATGGGTTTACAATTTATTTATACCGAATCCACCTCTATGACTCTCTCGCTCTCACCCTCATTCGATTTGGCGCTCGTTTACTCCGCTCTCTCATATCGATTTGGGTAAGAGTTTTTCTACATTAGGTTAAATATATAAGTGTTTTCATAATATGAGTTAGGTTGGGTATGATTCATTAGATTTGTGTTGCACGAAAATAGGTCAATTTGGGTCGAACCATTTCAATCCGACCCAAACTCAAACCCATCCCGACCCGACCCGACCTAATTACCTAACCTACCCAGGTCTATTAAAAAGAGATACACGAATTAAGTAAGATAATTAATAGAGTCCAATTCCTTGGGGGAACACCGCGTGTTTATTGCTTATTTATTAATCTAAACAACATGATACTGCTATTTCACACACTCGCAAGTCAAATCGTGCCATTGAGTAGGGTTGTTTTCATTACGTCGATGGTCAGTGCCATCTTGTATAGAGATAATACACCTAATTCAATGAAATGAATTATGTTGGTAAAAAAAGGGAAAAAAAATTAAATGGACACGTGTCATCCTATGACAGCCTTGCTTGTCGTTGTACATCGATACGAGTAAAAGAATCACTTTGTTAGGTGAAGTTTGGTTCCTGAAATTAGCGTTATCGACCGGGAAGGGAGCAGTGTCAAAGAGAATCAGATTTGCTTATGTGCGCAAGTAATCGTGTCTCGAAATTATATTTATTTTATGTGATAAGTATATTGAAAGTTTTAAAACTTGTCATCAAAGTATAATTAAGTCGTCAAACTTTCAAAAAGCGTGATCAAATCTTAAAACTTATCAAATTGGTACAATCAAGTCTTTTCGTTGGTCGCACGTTTTGAATATTTTAGGACTCAATTACATTTTTGTGATAAGTTTTAAGACTCAATTGCACTTCCAAGATAAGTTTTAGGACTTTATTATACTTTTTGAAAGTTTTATGATTTCATTGTACTTTCATAACTAGTTTTAGGATTTCCAATGCACTTAACCCTTATTTTATTTATTTATTTATCTATTTATCTATTAATTAATTGAAATTATTTTGGGGACCTTGAAGAAGTCGAGAAGCCATTTCAAGGAGTAATTTTGTTAGAAATTGACTATAAGATGAAATTCTCTAATAACCCACTTTTTCAAACATGGGAACAACAACAATTCCTGCATATTTGAACTTGACCTTCGGTGATGTTGTGACTTTTGATCGATATTGAACGGGTTGACTATTTCAAATTTGATGGGCTAAGGTGAAATGTAAAGCATCTTCTCATGATCAGCATTGTTTATGCTCGCTTATTTATTTATTTAGTTACTTTTGTTTTTGGAAAAGTGCTCTTTCTATAGTAGTTTGGGTCGGGGTTATTTTGTTTAGTTCTATGGATTAATGTGAGCAATAAGCCGATGCAAAGTTGACTAACATGAAAAATTCTAATCGAGTTGGGAACTTTGATACTCGAGCTCAACTCGACTTCATTAGAAAACGCGTGAAGTTTCGATGTTCAAATCAAGCTTGATCGAGTTTGAATATGACTCCACAAAGTATTCAATTAAGGTGCATCGATCGCCAGGTATCTAAGCATGATTCTTGAAGTTACAAACTCTCTCAAAACTCAGATAGACTTGGATTTGAGTTTCGATAGTGCAACAAGAACGAAGAGAAAGGTTCTTCTTATGTTGCATGTGGTTTACTATAAGTACATGTTTATGGTACTATGTGTACTACTCGATTAGGTTTTAAGTAAACTATTATAAAGCCGGCCGTATTTTCCTCCATCAACTCTTGGTAGCATTAGGTTTAGTGGGTTATAACACCATCCACATTTATAAAGCAATTATGAAGCTCAAAAACTTAGATGAGAACTTATCCACGGTAAATCTTGGGTGTTGCTTGACTCCTTTGTATCTCTAAGTAAAAATATAAGGATATCATAATATAAAAGTTAGAATCTTTACAAAACCAGTAGGTCAGTTTAGCACATAGCACTGATCTGATTCTCCACGAGATCAGTGCAAACAATTCCATGTTGGGCGACCCTTTGGGATTTTAGCTTGCGTCTCAATTAACTCTCGAGATGAATAGAGTAATTTCATAGCTCGAGGTTTACCTACCTAAGGTGGCCCGATTCACCACAAAAAAAAAAAAAAAAAGACAAGTAGATTACATATATGCTAACTTAAGTTGAGGTTTCAGAAATAGCCCAAGTTAATATAGGCCGAGTCCAGTCAATAGGGGACGTGCAAGAAGAGGGGACGGCCCATATCGCATCTCAACCCTGCAAAATGTTTCAGAGACCTATTCATCTTTACTAAAGTGAGGAAAATCATTGAGGACTTAGGTTGAAAAGGAGAAACTATTCTACTTAAAATCATAGAGTTAGAAAACGGCAATTAAATTCTGTAATATATTTTAAACAGAGAAATCGAGTCGTTTCTGTCGTCGGCAAAGAAAATGACTTATGTGGCAATTGAGAATCGCGCATTTCATGTCTCAATTCCACTTAAGGTTTAAAACTCGATTAAATTTTCTAACAAAGACTTATAACTTGTTGGGATTGGCGTGATCATTTAGGATTTGATCGCACCAATAAAATTTGTAATTTATCGGGATCGGCAATCGAGAACCACTCATTTCATGTTTCATTTTTGATATGTTATCAGAGTCTAGGTCTTGCTCTGGCCTCAATTTATTTCGCACATGTTTCCTCTCGATCTATTTTCGCGTGGGTGGCCCCCCATCCGTCTCCACGTGCCGTTCCTAATTCGGCCCCGGTTTATTTCCTTTTGGAGTTGGAATCTAAGGTTTCTACATGGATCATTCCATTATTAATTCAATATCAAAAGAGCTCCAAGATGTTGAGGAGAAAGGGCATGAAATCAATGAAAGTAGTAGCCAAAGTTCGCAACAATAGACGTTATTTTTAAGACGTAGGTCACATGTTAAAGTGTCCTCCTCCTCCCTCCTGGCCCTCTTGTCCTTGAAGTTGGAGTACAAGCATCGACAATACAAAGTCTTTTCACGCCCAAATAAAGAAGGAACGAAGAAGAATAAACCAGAACTTCTCTTCTTCCCCAACAGTTTGGCGTGGCTACTGATTAATTACTGATACGACATGATAAGGACATAACGCTACCAAATTGAGCGTGGCCTAATCATGTTTAGATGTGTGGCAACTGAGTAAATCCGCCGTGGGACGAGAGAGAGTTGAATGGGCAATCTTGTCGAGGCCATTTCTTGCTGGACGACAGACAAAAACCTTCATGTTCACGATCACGTTTGTGTCTGAACTGTCCACATAAAGAAGTGTCTTTGATGCATTCTTGTTTCTCTGAAACAAGCACAGCAATAATATATGAGGGTCATGAATCAATAAGGTTTTGCATTACTGAATGAATAAATTATAATCTCGTTTTAGGGCTTAGGAATATATTTTGATGAATATGTGGTGACCAGTGATATAATGATTGATTGGTAATATCCCAGCGTGATATATGAATGTGTTGCAAGTGATATAATTTCTCGGGATAAATGCAATCGAAATCCTAAAGCTTGTTGCAATATATAGAATCATAAGACTTTCTAAAGGTGCAAAAGGCGTGGGGCTGCGAGCACTCGTTAACCCTCGTCAATGAAGTAGGAGGCAACTTAAGCCCCCTCCGGCAAAATGTTTGTTTTTTTAACTATTGAATCTAATTTTATTTACTATTAGGAGCAAAACAACGTCATTTTGGTCATTGTTGAATTTTTCACTCACGTAATAGCCACTTAGAAAATCGAAAGCAATAAAAAAAAAAGTCACATGAGCATTTCCTATCACTAAAATTTGACAGAGCTAACAGAGTTACTTTATTGCACAAATAGGACAAGGTTTAGGACTTGATTGTAGAAATTGAAAATTTTAATACTCGATTGCATTTTCTTGATAAATTTTGAAATTTCGATTGGACAATACCAATGGGTAGAAGGGTTCGATTTTCTTTCTTTCTTATTTCTTTTTCCAGAGATCTAAGAAGATTTGTCCATCACATACTAAACTGACTTCGGTAGGTAGGTTGCAATAAAAAAAATACCAATTTTACAGAAATAAAGTTCTTAATATCTTATCATTGATCAGGTTATGGAAAGCTTTCCAATCATGAACATGGCAAGACGAGGCCATCGGAGAATCAAACGACACTTTCCAACTATTTACCCAAGCTATGTAATTTGCCGCTAAATGGGGAAAACTAACTTGATAGATATGAGAAAGTATCTTATTCGATATCATTCTCAAATGTAATGCAGACACGATTCACCAAGTCGGGAGTTAATTTTTGGTATCGGGAGAAATAACGAACTCGGTGATACCTCTCGGCTTTCGGGATCGGAGAATCTATCGTCTCGGGTGATGATGAATATTGCTATGGCCTTCGGCGAAGATGACATGACTGTCGACACCCCGTTCGGAATATTATTCCACCGGCAACTCATCATCCGCAATGTCTCCTCCGACTGAATAATCATCTTCCCTCCTCCCTGGGTTATGGCAACCTCAATGACCTTGTCTGCTCCTAAAATAACCTCAATTTGCTTTAATCGGCCCAACGTATAACCATAACCTACTTGATCAAAATATAATTGGAGACAGAATTTGTACAAAAAATGCACCCGAAGTGCTTACCTTTCAAGATTTTACGACCCCGCAGAATGATGAATCTTTGAACCGAGAGTAAGCTCATGCAATGACAGATCTTGCGAGCGAACGGACAATTTCATCTCCATCGACGAAAACCCAGATAAGAGATCTTGAAAGGGGTCAGTAAATCTCGTTAAAAAATGCTTAATGCCGTGATTTTCATATTTTTGATCGTTTGGAAACAGGTCAGTCGCTACGATAAGGCGGTCATGTCTCTCATCACTGTCTGCCAACACGGTGACTTGTTCCTTGAGGTTGCAACTTGCTTCCAAGTTCTGCAATATTTGGGGTTTGAGAAACCATGGAAGAGAAAGTCCACCCATGCGGGTCGATTCTCGGCGCGTCCAAGGCCGGAGATAAAATGGAAAGAGCTTTTGGACGAGGTGTCGGAAACCAGTTTTGAGAGACTTGATTGTAAGACATATTGGGTGGACCGCCCAAGATGGGCCAAACCCGGCCCGTGAGCCACAAGGGCCCATGAGGTAGTTATTTGTCTATCTATAATAGAAGGCACCCTTTGGAAAACAGACGTGATTTTTTCCATATGCAAACACACTCCTTCGAAAACGTTGTCTTCTCTGTTTTCCTTCGGAACGCACACGAATACGAAAGACGATCGAAGAACTCTCAAGCGCAAAGTGGCACTTAATCTATGACAATACCGGGTATGTTCGTTGTGTGATATGCCTGTACGATCGGTGATACAAGTTGATGGTCCTTGGGCACATTTTCCGCATTGATCGAATTCGTTCCGAATATGTTTCAAACGCAACGATCGGGGATTGAGTTTTCCCAACATTGGTATCAGAGCCTGTTTACTTGTTTCCCGATCATGCATGTGTACCGTCTCTACCATTGAAGTGTATACTGCTTGTTTTTTCGTTTCGGCCTTGTTTTTTGTTCGTTTTCGTCGCGTCGCCGAACTGTTCATGCATGTTTCGATTTTTTTTTCGTCAAAACTTGAATTTTATTGTATAAACAGAAAGGACTCGTCGAGACGAGCAAAATGATGGGCGGCACGTCGCCGGAGGACGCCGCACGCGCCCTCACGCGCCGTCAAGGGCAGTGCGCGCGACGCCTCGTGCGTACCACGCGCGGCCGTGCGAAACGGCGCGTCGGTCGCCGCTAACCGCCGATGATGACGTCATCGTGACGTCATCAGGAGCGGACCCACTGACCCGACCCGAGACCCGACCCGGTTGACCGTTGACCCGACCCGTTGACCCAACTCGGTTGACCGTTGACCGAACCGGTTGACCGTTGACCGGTCAACGGTCGGACCGGTCAAACCGGTCGAACCAGACCGGTTCAAACCGGCATAATGACCCAGTTATTTCTTTCGGCCCGTTCGAGCTCATTTGAACTCCGATTTGGGCGTTTTTGGTATCGACGTGCTCGTATCGGAATGCTCTACGTTATGGTGTATTCATATTATATTTTTACTGCACTTATGAATGTGAAAATGCATGATAAACCCTATGTACACGTACTGAGGGGTATATTCTTTGGCATTTTCTCTAGTATTTCTCTATAGTTTTTTTTGAAATACAAGTGCTAGATCATATGTATATGAATAAGCATTCCCTATCTTAATGTATCATGGATTATAAGTAATCCTTCGTTCTGCATTCGTTGCAGGAACAATGGTACATTTGAGACGCACTCCGATAATCCCAAGAACGGCAGCTCAAAAGGAGAAGCTTGAAAACCTAAGAGTCAAGCTAGCTCTTTATCGATGGGACGCTAAAGATGATATGATGACACACATCATCAAGGTCAACAAAATGATACAGGATATCATTTGGAACGGTTTTGTAATGCCGGAATATATAATGGTCGGAGCCCTAAAATGCACTATGCCTGATGAGTCGGGAAGAATACTTGATAAGGTTAAAGAAACTTTAAATGGTCCAAGCTATAAGATGCTTGTGGAGAATTTTGTGCAAGAATACATAAGGGTCGGGGCAAGGAGAACATCAACCCTTGCATTGAATGGGTCTCGGCGCAAATCATGGTCCGGATCTAGGGGTTTTCCGGGAGCCTCTGTTTATGTTCCGAAGAAAATAAAACTTTCTAAAGAATTTTATGAGTCCTTTCATGTCTATGTGTTGGATTGGTACACTTGATGTTGTTCTTTTAGGATTTGGAACCAATTCTGTACATGTTTCTAGTTGATATTACATATTCTTAAACATTTGTGAATGTGTTATGATATATATATATGGCTATGAATTTTTGGTGATTTCTCATTTTATATTGCCATATTATGTGTTATGTTTTATGTGGGAAGTTCTTAAAAGTTTGTATAACTTATGAAGAACCAATTTCATTACATAAATGATTATGTTAATGGTAATTTCAAATTAGGTTTTTTAGATGATGATTGGGAACATAGTGAACTTTCGACTCTAAGACCTTTTGTGAAACTATTCATTAATATGATTAGTTTATGTAATCATGATGCTGATGAAGCATTTAGATAGGCTTTAATAACTCGTGCGTATGTGTCTGAAATGTTCAGATACGATGGCTTCAGCAACTAAAAACATAGTGGCTGAACTAAATAAGGGAGAAAAATTGAATGGCGACAATTATGAGATTTGGAGTCTCAAGATTCAATATGTGCTAGAAGAGCAAGATGCACTCGAAGCTCTTAACCAGATTATGGAAGAACCTGAGGATGGGACAACTGCCCAACACAAGAGGGACAAAGATGCCTTTGCTGTTTGGAAAAGAAAGAACTCTCTTGCTCGCATTACGTTGCTAAGCAGCATGGACAATGACATCATGCGAGAGTTCGGACGTTTCCAGAGCGCCAAAGACATGTGGGCTGCACTGGCATCAAGATTTGTTCGAACTTCTGTGACCAAACTGAGACAACTTACTATCCGTTTCGACTCATACAAGATGTCTCATGGAAAGACCATGAAACAACATTTGAGGCAGATGTCGAATATGATTAGTGAGCTAAAGGATGCCGGGCACATACTCACTGATGAACAGCAGGTGCAGGCAGTAATCCGCTCCTTGCCTCAAAGCTGGGAGCACATGAAGATCCATTTGACCCACAATGAGGGTATCAAGACCTTCGAGGATGCTATGCGGCATCTTGAGCTGGAAGAGGATCGCCTCATGGCAGCTAAGCCAGAAACTGATATTTACTTTGCTGGTTCTAGCTCGCATGGAGTTTCGGGCTTCAAAAGGAAGCACCCTGCTGGGTCAAAGAAGTGGAAAGACAAGGGGCCAAGTCCTTCAGGGAAGAAGCCGAGGCTCAACCAACGGGAGAAAGGAAAGCATCCTTTCAGCTCCTTTCAAGAAGAACATTTCAAGAGTGAAATGTTTCAACTGTGGCAAGAAGGGTCACTTTGCTCGCGACTGTGGCGAGCCAAAGAAGGTAGAAACCCTTAGCATTCATGAAAATGCTACATATGTGTCTAGTTCAGTGTTTCTAACCGAATCTAATCCTTTGTGGACTGTAGACTCGGGAGCCACAAACCATGTAGCGAAGGACAGAGAAGCTTTCGTGGAGTTCCGACGAGTTCCACAAGGAACGAAGTGGATATACGTGGGGAACAATTCAAGAGTGGAGGTCAGAGGCATTGGCACCTGTCAACTACTTATGTGCGGTGGACGCACATTGTTCCTACATGATGTGCTATTTGCTCCAGAGATTCGTCGGAACTTAGTTTCGGTGTTGGTTTTAGTTAGACTTGGTTTTAATGTAAACTTCCATAATAATGGTGTAGACTTGTCTTTAGGTACAAGTTATTATGGTTCCGGATATTTCTTAGATGGTTTCATTGTATTAGATGTTGACTATTGTGAAGTTAATGTTAGTTATTCCTTATTTACATCATCTGATTCTTATGAGAATGATGTGAACGTGTGGCATGCTAGACTTGGTCATATTGGCCAACAAAGAATGAATAGATTGGCTAAAGATGGCTTATTGGGCAATATTAAAAAGGTTGACTTGCCCATATGTGAGCATTGCCTAGAAGGAAAAACAACACGGAAACCATTTGGAAAAGGAATAAGAGTTGAATTTCCTTTGCAATTAATCCATACTGACATCTGTGGTCCAATGAATATAAAAGAAAGGCACGGGTCTGTTTATTTCATCACATTCATTGATGATTATACTCGATTCGGACATGTCGATTTGATTTCTCATAAGTCCGAAGCTTTAAATTGCTTTAAAAGATTTATGAGCTTAGTGGAAAATCAATTAGACAAGAAAATAAAAGCATTAAGATCCGATCGAGGTCGAGAATATCTGTCTGATCAGTTCAGAAATTTATGTGATGAAAAGGGAATAGAAAGACAACTGACTATTCCATATACTCCTCAACAAAATGGTGTTGCGGAAAGGAGAAACAGAACCTTAATGGAAATGATTAGATCAATGATGGCACAAGCTAACTTGCCCATCACCTTTTGGGGTGATGCTTTGTTGACTGCTGCTTACATACTTAACCGTGTGCCTTCTAAATCAGTTGCTTCTACTCCATATGAGTTATGGACAGGCAGAAAGCCTGATTTAAGCTTTCTAAAACCTTGGGGTTGTGCTGCCTATACTCGTGAGTCTTCTCACAAGTATGGAAAATTAGGCCCAAGAGGCAAAAAGAGTATTTTTATAAGATACTCAGAGCACTCAAAAGGATATGTATTCATAGGTGAGCAAGAAAGCGGAAGTATAACTGAATTTGAATCACGGGATATCACATTCTTAGAGAATGAATTTCCTAAAAAGGGCGAAGTAGGTGATGATTACTCACTATACGAATCTGTGGATCGTGATAGTGAAGTTAGTGGGAGCATTGTGACAAATGGAGAGTTGAATGCAACCCAGTCTCAATTGCAATCACTTAAAGAGACGACACCACCATTATCTCATTCGAGTGGGAGCGCAATGGAACGTGGTGAATCATCAGGAGTACAGCATTCCATACGACAGTCAAGTCGTAATAGGATTCCCCGTCGACGTTTTGACATTGAAGGAGAAACTTTCATGATCGCCCCACAAGATGAAGATGAGCCGAAGAATGTGAACGATGCTCTAAAGTGCCTTGATAAGGAAGAATGGATACATGCAATGGAAGAGGAAATGGAGTCATTAAGATCAAACCAAGTTTGGGAATTGGTTGACCTTCCAAAAGGACGTAAAGCCATTGGGAACAGGTGGGTTCTCAAAATAAAGCGTAAGGCTGATGGCTCAATAGGGAGGTATAAGGCTCGCCTTGTGGCGAAAGGATATAATCAACAGGAAGGAGTTGACTTTGAAGAAACTTTTTCTCCTGTGGTTAGATTTACCTCTATTCGCCTTATTCTGGCAATAGTAGCTAGTATGGATCTGGAATTACATCAAATGGATGTAAAGACTGCATTCCTCAATGGAGAATTAGAGGAAGAAATTTATATGGAACAACCTGTTGGTTTCATTACAAAAAGCCAGGAGCACAAAATGTGTCGACTATTGAGGTCGATATATGGCATTAAGCAGTCTTCGAGATAATGGTATATACGTTTTCACAATGCCATAATGGCATATGATTTTGTAATGATTAGTGAAGATAATTGTGTATATATCAAAAGATCCAAAGATCAATTTGTGATCTTGTCATTATATGTTGATGATATACTAATTGCCGGAAGCAGTATGGAGTTGGTTAATACAGTCAAGAATTGGTTATTTTCCAATTTTGAGATGAAAGATATGGGTGAAGCTGCATACATTCTTGGAGTTAAGATTTCAAGAGATCGCTCAAAGAAATCTCTATCCCTTTCACAAGAGACGTATGTGAATAAAATCCTTGAGCGATTTCGTATGCAAGACTGTAAATCAATAAATACTCCTATTGCAAAAGGCGAAGCATTAAGCGACAGAATGTGTCCTAAGACTTCACAAGAAAAGGAGCAAATGGAGCAAGTTCCATATGCTAGTGCTGTCGGAAGCTTGATGTACGCTATGATGTGTACAAGACCTGATATTTGTTATGCAGTTGGAATGGTAAGTAGATACCAATCCAATCCAGGTCCAGCACATTGGATCGCCGTCAAAAGAATCCTGAGATATCTAAAGGGAAGTGCCGACTATGCACTGACTTATCAAGGAAGTGATCTACACCTTGAAGGCTATACTGATGCTGACTGGGGAGGAGATTTAAAAGAAAGGAAATTTACTTCTGGATACGTGTTCTTACTGAATAATGGCGCCATATCTTGGAGCAGTAAGAAGCAACAGTGTGTAGCCTTATCTACAATGGAAGCCGAGTTCGTGGCTCTATCAGCAGCGGCACAAGAAGCTGTTTGGCTTAGAAGATTTTTGGATCACTTAGGTGTTACTGAGAATGCTGCAAACCCAGTATTGGTCTATTGTGATAGCCAAGCAGCAATAGCGTACACTAAGGATCCCAAGTACCATGGAAAGACCAAACATATAGATATCAAGTATAACTATGTCAAGGACATAGTTGCACGAAAGGAAGTGAACGTGAAGTACATATCTACACAAAGGATGATAGCAGATCCTATGACGAAGCCGATTCCTAGAGAAGTTTTCCATGGTCATGTGAGATATCTAGGACTGTGTAGAATATGATGTACTGAATATTGTAATTTTCCCAGAATGTTCACTATTAATGAAGTTTGTTATTATCAAAGCCTATAAGTTTGTATGACGTTTGTGAATGTCGTTGCTGAGTGCATTATATTGAAAAGGTATGTCGGACAGATGAGAGATTAGCCCACTCACACGGGTAATCGCCTCTACTCACTGTGTGATGAATAGAGATGAGACAGTTTTAAGCTTGTTATCTAAGTGATAATTGAGAGCTCAAGCTTGAAGCATGGACGTCGCCTTAACAGAATGTTAAGATGAGGACATATAGATTATTATGTCCGAAAGTGAAATGACCCACATATTTCACTTTACCTGTCTTTAATGCCAGATGTGAGTTCTGATAGATGCTTATGAATAGAGTAGATTTGTGAACTCAAGTTAGACATTGAGTATGTCTAAACTATCATCTGTACGGTATTGAGAGTAAAGACATACGCTTTATGGGAAAAGGAGAGAATACCGTAATACGTATTTCATATTACGTATGCATGGGACGACCGATAAAAGTTGACAAAAAGTTATGATCTCAACTTTTAAGTCGTGTGAGACTCTTGAGGAAAATAGTTTTTCTCAATTAAAGTGCCATCACGACTCTTACTTATTCTCAAAATTTCTATTCAGTGTTTGCTATCTTAGGATGTTGCCGATGATCATGATAATTCGGTCTAACGGGGCATTTCTAGAAAAGCGAGTTGGACTGAAATGGAGAGGTTTAAGGAAAGAGGAAGATCAATTTGATTTATGATGTCACATTCTATATTTGTATTCACAGGTCGACCAATTATGATTTTGAGTAAATCATAGTTGTGAATACAATATACGAGATACTAAAAGAGATTAAAAGAGATGAAAATTGTGACTGATTGATCTAGGGAATTGCATACTAATTCTATTCTGGATAATGCCCAATTTGAGCTGTTATATATTCCTAACAGATGTATAACAACGAGCTCTCGGAGTATGCTGGTCGCACGGATTATTTGCCAATATGAACTTTGCAAGGAAGAGAGTTGTGTTTAGCCCATCGTGGGCGAGTGGGAGATGTAAGACATATTGGGTGGACCGCCCAAGATGGGCAAAACCCGGCCCGTGAGCCACAAGGGCCCATGAGGTAGTTATTTGTCTATCTATAATAGAAGGCACCCCTTGGAAAACAGACGTGATTTTTTCCATATGCAAACACACTCCTTCGAATACGTTGTCTTCTCTGTTTTCCTTCGGAACGCACACGAATACGAAAGACGATTGAAGAACTCTCAAGCGCAAAGTGGCACTTAATCTGTGACAATACCGGGTATGTTCGTTGTATGATATGCCTGTACGATCGGTGATACAAGTTGATGGTCCTCGGGCACATTTTCCGCATTGATCGAATTCGTTCCGAATATGTTTCGAACGCAACGATCGGGGATTGAGTTTTCCCAACATTGATAATGATATTGGCACTCTCATTTGAGACTGGTACGGAGTTAAGGACCGAAGAATTCATTCGTTGAGGAGTTCTCTTCTTCGAGCCTTCGCCGATCTGCATGGGCTTGAGTCGTCGTCCTCGTCGTTGTGGGTGTTGAGCAGGCATGAGACGAAGAGAAATGGAAAGGAAGAGGGTTAAGAGGAGGAGGAAAGAGAGAAAGAGGAGCTCCATCTCACTGTTCTCCATTTGGGGTGGTGTGAGATGGGGGAGAGGGAAGAGATGATCGGGGTGTGCAGCAGAACTTAGATGTAACTTTGTATGACTACACTTGGTTTTATGAGTCTTGGACAGAGGAGTATTATTACTCATTGCATCTATATATTATGCATCTAAGAGTGAGTTCCATCTAGTTGTTCCAAATAACTTAAAATAAAACCAGGATGGAGGAAGAGCTGGTAAATTAATCTTTTCTTTTCTTTTTTTTCTTTTTTCCTTTGATCTTCATTCATAGCTTTTGTGCAACATCTACGCTCACGAGTTTCCTTTCGTATGTCTCAATTTTTGCAAGTAAGTACAAAAATGTCGTAACACGTCGTAAAATTGATTTGCGATATCATGACAAATCCATATAACCTAGTATAAAACGGTGGTAAAATGGTCGGTATGGTACACCATAGTACCTTGAAAATCCCAAGTCACTTGAGGTTAGCTCACGAGGTCGGAGGCAGTGCATGCATGACACATTGACCTTACTAGTTGAGGTCTGAAGTTTGGGATAGACCTTTTAAAGCCAAGCCCCAAAAAGTTACTAACTGTTAATATCACGGAAAATCCTAAATTTGTAACGCTTGGAACTAGACACTTACTTTTCATCCAAGTTTGAGCAAATTTTGACCAAAAGTCTGCCTAGTTAACATCATGATGGAAGGATATAATCGGGTTGTGTTCTTTCTGACGACAACCAATTCACTCAAATAAGATAGCCAGACTGCTGGATATTGTGCTTTCTAACCATGCCCGTCCGACCTCGGTGGAGTCGAGTAAATTGTGATTTTCGCATATCAATCGATGAGATAACGTAGATATGGTTATTAGCTTTCCAATGCCTTCGGAATCATTTTGATCGGAGTTTTCTCAATGGAAATATCATGGTTTTTCTTATCGACTGTCCGCTCGGTCAATTTGCGGAAGTTTCCGAACTTGACACTTTTTTTTAAAAATTAGTACATATTTTCAAAAAAGGATATGTGCACTGGAAGTCCTAAAACTTGTTATGAAAGTGCAATTAAGTCTCAAAACTTACAAAAAGTTCAATCAAGTCCTAAAAATTATCAAATCGATGCAATCGAGTCCTTATTTAAACTCTATCCAACTTGGCTTATGGAAAATGTAGACGTGGCTTTTGTAATATTTTCTCTCTTTTGCGTGGCGATAACATGGCTAAACATGAAACATAAGACCAAAACGATATCATTTTGGTCCAAATCTAATTTTTAATACAAATTTTATTTAAATTAAATTTTAAAAAGCTAAAATAATAAAAATAGAAAAATTAGAGTTAGAACCAGGCGGTGAGGGCTCCATTTCATTGCCACATATGATTGAGAAAATAGTAGGAAAAAAGTCACGTCACCATTTTATGTCAGCCAAGTTAGACGGAGTTAATGAAATGACTTGTTTGCATCAATTTGATAAGTTTCAAAATTTGATTGCACTTTTTATAAGTTTTATGACTTAATTGTATTTTTGTAACAAGTTTTAGAACTTTAAGTGCACTTATCCCTTTCAGTAATTTTGGATCGTGAGCTTCCCATGAGTGTAAGAATCGAGTCAACCAGATATTAAATGAGAGAAAAACCAGCGGTAAAATTTTTTTAAGTTCTGGTTAATATATATTGAAGAAGTTGAATCTTGGGGTCTTTGGGTAATTAATTGGTTTAGGTTATGCCGGAGTTGTCTGAAGAGAACAGGAATCAGGAATCCTTTAATTGCTGCTGTGACGTGGTCTTCTCGGTCGCGAAGGAGTTATACTATTTTGATAATGATGGTGAATCTCAGCCAAGGTATGAGCTGAGGGCGATGGAATGTAGGCTAATGAAAATTAAATATTATTGGATCCCTTTAATTTCGTGAAAAATTTACTATCCAAAAATACTTTTCTCATTATTTGATGTTTGAATCCACGAAGAAAATGAGTTAACAGAAAATCTTTTCATAGTCAATGTAAAATCTACAAAAAAATTTTCATAGTCAACAGAAAATCTATGTTTTAGATTTAGGAAAATGATTTACTATATAGAAATAAAAAATCGTCTTTCAAAATACAACTAGACCCCAATGCTTGGACTTAAGACCCCTGCGCTTGGGCATGAGGACCCATACCTATGCTTGGGTCCTTGGCGGCCGGCCTCAAGTCCATAGTAGCTAGGCTCGATCCCCTTGAGGCCGGGCATTGGACCCTCATGCCCTTGTGCAGGTCCCCATTAGCCGTGCCCTGATACTCGGGTCACTTGCTCAAGTCATTGGCACACCAGGCTAGGGTCCACCGAGGCCATACCCGGTTCCCGATGCCCGTGCTCGAGTTCCCAATAATTGGGGTCGAGAAACCTCGGCTCCCGTGCCTAGTAACTTGTCGCTTGGGCCCGAGGACCCCGGTAGCTAGGCTTGGTCCCTAGCGCTGGAGCTGGAGTCCTTGGCACTTGGGCTCGGGCATAGCGGGCCAAGCCAAGTGTGAGATCTATAAGTTTTTATGCTTGGTAATAATATTTGGGTTATAAAGTTAAGTATTAATTAGCTTTGAGTATTGGATGACAGATGTAATTTCAAGAGGGTAACTAACTTTGCCACATATGGAAAGTGCAAAGGATGATTTTCCACTACCGTAGTTGCTCAGAGCACGATGCTTTAAGATTAAATTGATAGATGTTGACATGTACATTTATTGTGTAGAGTGACAGTGATTAACTTACCGCCATAGTAACTGTTGATGGGGACCAATATGTTCCTAATACGTATTGGATAGTTTTCAAGTTTTAAAATTAGATTTTACTAGCATCTGTTATCTTTCACTGATAATTTTGGTGGGTTCAAAATATTTTTTCTGATTTGCCGGTGATTAGAACGGATGATTTCCTTGTTTATGTATCCGAAATACTGGATATCTTTGTAACATATCAAAATATCGACTTTGAGACCATATAATTAAGCCATTTGTCACTTTCTAATTTGAGCACCTCTCACTCAATTTCAACCTAGTTTTTTTAACCCAATGTTATCATTGCTTTTAAACTTAGTCAAACATTATTATATTTTTGTAAGTCATGTAAGTTTTCCAAGTACATCCCTTCTTGATTGTACGCGTCCTTACGCATCCTCTACAAATAACCAAACTTTAAAAAGAATTCCAACTTGTTCTTGCAAAAAAAAAAAAAAAGGAAGAGATCTTCTTATCACTTTTCTCTTCTATTTTCACTTTCCAATCTCTCAAGTGAAAGCATGGGTCCCACTCTTGTGTTGTTAAAGCTTCAAATTTCACCTTTCAAGAGGGTACAAGGTGGTTAAGGCCTAGGGTTGTCCAAGTCTTTGATCAAGGTGAGTGAAACTCGAGGGACAAAGTTAGAATAATATACTTCGAACTCTTGACTTGGCTGTCCGATGGTTGTTAATTTTAGTTTGAACTTTAATGTCAAGCATGAGAAAATTTTGATGATGATGATGATGATGTGCTAAACGGTTGTGTTCATTTGACTTAAATCGTTGAGTCTCTACATGCATAGGTTGTGATTAATCAACTTCCAGGCTTAGTAGTATGTTAGGTGTTGTGAAACTAAACTTGAAAGTGATATTTTTGTAATTCGACTAAATTATCGATTTACTAGTTAAGTGTTGCTGATTAATCACGTCGTCGATTATTTAAGTTATCGATGTTCATGTTATCGATTATTTGGATTGTTGATGTTCAAGTTGTTTATTATTTTGAGTTGTCGATGTTCACTTGGTCGATTCTTTGGGTCATTGATGTTCACGTTGCTAATTCTCTTAGCTGTTGATCATATAACTTATCAATTTTCATATGAAATTACTAATTTCTGACTATGTTATCACTATTTACATGAGAAAGGCAAAAAGGGAAGTGTTTAACTCTTACTTATGTAAGTGATAAATGGAAAAGGCACGGCGATTATATTTCGGTAATGAATTGCATAAGATTTTGTTATGTACCGGATGTTGATTTTATAGAATGGCTATACAACATATAATAAATGAATGTTGATTTCATTGTTGATATAAGGAAGATCACAAGATTTCAGTATTATTATCTTCACTATTGCTTTATGATTACATATAAATAGTATTATGTTATATTTTCGTCGCTCATACATTAGTGGCGATGATGCCCCATGTGTCGGATTGCCTTCGGAGTTGAGATGTCCATGTGTCAAGATTCCCCAAGAGTGTTTAGGATGTCTCGTGTCATGAGATGTTCCGCGTGTCGAGATGCCTCGGGAGTGTTCGAGATTCATAGTTAGTCGAGATGAATTGCCAATGATAAGTATGATATATTTATATTTACCCATAAGTATTCACATCCGCATATTGATGAACAATTCTGTGGTAGCCTTAGATCTCAATATGATATGTCATCATCTTGTGATAGGAAAGATAGTGCATCCACTTATTCATTAGTCTTTCAAAGTTATTTTGTACTTGTTTGGGGTTATTGTTTTTTGTATGTACCAAGTTAAGTGGTAAGATGATATCTTACTTTAGATTTAGAGACTTCATTTGTTGAGTTTCGACTCACTCCTTTAGTTTTAATGATTTGTAGGATGGTTTCCCACTGCCACTGCTTTTGATGCCTTTGTGTATTTTGATTTTGAATACCAAGATGTGTTCGTACTTGATTCAACAATAATTTATACTAAGTGTAGTTCTATTATATTGATTGACGTAGGGTTGTAAGAGTGGATCCTCTATTGATTCGCCACTTGATACTTCAATATCGATGGGGAGTTCGTTGAACCATTTAAGGGCTTCGATGGTCCCCCTGGTTTCGAGGGCGATGATGTCATGTCTATGGGCGAGGTTGTCTATCTGTAATTTAGTAACATGACTTTGTATTGGCAAGTTTTTGTTGCAGGAGTTTTTGGTGGAGTATCAACCAGACTCGACCTTCTTCCCAGAGCTAATGCGTTGTATTTTGTTTCTTTTGGTACATGTATCAGTACTTTTTTTGTTTGGAAGAGGGAAGATAAAGTAAGAATGAATATGCAAATTATTCAAACTTACGTTTCTCATGCGATGTGTTTATTATGCTTCCGCATACTTAATAATAATAATAATAATAATAATAATAATAATTTTAACAAAAGATCTCATG